AATACAGATGAATGACTTCCTAGAAACCTGTATTTTTTTTTTAAATTATTTTCAATTCTAGTGCTTGCATGGCATATATGCGCATGTCCCTTGTCTGTCTTTCCACAGTCGTGTTTTCATATGGTGTCTGGATGATGCCATGAACTAAAAATTGGCTGGAGTGAGGTCCTTGGAATTTCCTAAACAAGAGAGAGTGCTCTATAATTTCAGAGTCTGGCAGATGAGCCCGTATAATTTTAAGTATTGAAACAGAAACAAATATATAACTAGCTACTCATTCTAACTCCACGGCAGTGGTCATGAGGAGGGCTTCGTGGCTTCAGGTATCCAGCTTTCCAAAGGAAGTCCAGTCTACAATTGAGAACCTTCCATTTGAGGGACCAAACTTGTTCACTGAGAACTGATGAATCCTTCCACATGTGAAAAAATTCTAGATCCACCTTTATGCTCACTGGGAATTTACACGCCTGCACAAAAAAGATTCAGTAAATCTCTGACAGCTCAGAGATCCCAGCCTACTCAGTCCATGCCCCCTTTCCCCCAAGGCATTATGAACCCCAGTGCAAGAGACAGCATTTGCAGAAAAGGAGACCAGCTGCCTCACAGCCCTCTACATCTAAACATCAGTTTTGAGGGGTCGTCCAAGGGCTCGATTTACTACCTCCATCCTTATCTGCTGCAACAATCCGCACGTTTCCCTCACTTTGGCGACCACCTTGGTCCTTTTCATCAAGACTGGGAATACATAACTATGGACAAATGAGTTGGAGATAATTTCTACAGGATATTCTATCCATTTTACCTTCCTTATCTCTTCCCCTCCTCTCTCTCTTCAAGGACCCTTCTCACACACCTTTTATGACAGGAAACAGACTCTCTCCCAAACCTGGGTACTTTAGAATTAGTTCCCACACAACACAGAGGGAGGAGACTTCTCCAAGTACTTTGTGGTACCGAAAAACAACAGCGATTGGAGGACTATTCTAAAACTAAGATCACTCAACAGATTTGTAAATGTTCAGAATAGTAATTCTCCCAGCAATAATTCCATCTCTGGACCAAGCGGACTGGTTCTCGGCCCTCGACCTACAGGATGTTTGCTTCCATATTGCAATCCACCCATCCCACAGAAGGTTTCTGTGATTCACTCTGAATCAGGATCACTTTCAATACAAGGTACTCCCATTCATCCTGTCATCCGTGCCCAGAATGTTCTCAAAGGTCCTTTCTGTGGTAGCGGAACATCTTCGCAAACAAGGAATTCTGATTTTCCCATACTTGCATGATTGTCTGCTCAAAGCATGCTCCTTCAACAAGGGTTTGACCACACAAAAGGCCACGGACCTATTCCTCTGACTGGAACTACAATTAAACTTCAAAGTCCACATTAATTCTAATACAGCATCTGGAGTTCATAGGAGCTTACCTTGAGGCAGTAGCAGCCAAAGCATTCTTCCCCTCACACAGGTTCAACATGTCAGTCAGTTTAGTCTTGACAGTCCAGGTCGAGTTCCAGAGTCGACGGTGAGTGCTTTCGGGGATCGATATATCGCGTCTTAATGAGACGTGATATATCGATCCCGGATAAATCGATTGCCACCCACCGATATGGCGATACCCTAAGTCGCTTATTTTTATATATATAATATATATTTCAGTGACACCTAAGGACTCCAATGAGGGCCCTGTTGTGCTAAGTGTTGCACAAACCTATCTAAACAAGGATATTGCAGGCTGCTACTTGATGTTTAATCCCTACATTTAGGCAACATTACCATTGGCTTTGAATCCAGGTCCCATGCCCAATTTTCAAAAATAATCCCACAGTCTTTTAACTAGTTCTCAGACCCATTTCTTTGAGGGATGACTGATAGTTAATCTTCCAACATTAGGGATCTCTGGTAAAAATGGTTAGAGAACAAATGTTATCTAGTAGGAATAAATTGCCACTATAAAGCTACGTTCCTCACCCTGTGTATACCCATTTCTTTGGATTCCATTTCTAATACATTATTTAAGTGGAAAGGAATTGGATGGAATCATGGCCATGCATCTTCATATTAACTTAAAGTAAATGTTTGCTTTTACTAGCAGAATATGTATATGGTCACCAAGAACACATGCAGTCCCAAGTATATGAATTTGACAATCTACTCTCAGTACAGTTTTATGCATTTCTCTTCAATGCTGTTTCTGGTGGTTCTCTAGTGGATATGAAAATTCTGCTGTGACAGAATCCACTCCTCGAAAAAAGGTGCTTAGATTCTTGTTGTCTATTAGTTAGATGGGTTCAGTCTTTTTTTTTTATAATTTTGGGTTTTTTGTTTTTAAATCCTAGGATGATCGTTGCATGATTCCATTAGTTATTCTGGCATCTTTCATGCCAGCTTCTGCTATTCCTACATTCAGGTACTATTTCTTTAATATCAAAATTGAGCGGGGGGTGGTTGTCTCTGTTGTTCAACTTTAATTTTATTTTTTTATTTGGTATACATTAAAATACCCTCAATGAATAACATCAATTCAGGCAAATTTATCCATTCAGGAAACTTGATAACTTAGTCAAATCTGTAGGGGCCAATGGGCCTATAAATTGTTTTGTTAATATTTCAGGTATCATATCAGTTCATTTTATGTCTGAGTCATTGCTGTGCTAATGAATAAAAACAGCTGCTATATCTGAAATTGTTTTCAGCTGTGGTGTGATCTCTAAATTGAGGAATCTTGAGAAGGGAGCTGATGAAAATAAATACTCCACCCTGATAGACTGCTTGTGTTGCTGGGGACAAGTGGGACACATTATGGAGTTAATCTGTGATTGGATGTCTGATGAGATGACACCAAGAAAGGTTTGCAAAGAAAACACTGAATTCTACTGCTATGTTGCATTATATAATCTGATTCTATTAGTCCTTTAATCTGGAGGATAAGTAATTACTATAAAGTTTATTGTAGTATCTTTTATATCTCATTGTTTAATGGGCTTCTCTCCTCCACACTTAGAGCAATACAGCATCTGAGCGGCGAGTACGTATCCAAGTAACATACCAGTCAAAACCAGAATTAGCACTTGATTATCTAGAATATTTATTGACTCATTCCATGAATCGGGATTGCCTGCTATCTGTCCCCAAAAAGAAATTGAACCAGCTTTTAAAAGTACTTGGAGCTGCAAAGGTAATACTTGTAGAATATTGAATGTAAAGTACTATTTAATGTGTCTCAGTACCACTACTGAAATTTAGATTTTACATTTTTCTTCAAAAATCTCAGTAAGATCCACCACTCTTCCCTCCTTTGGATCTTCTGCCATTATACGCATGATGATCTTATGAACTGATGAAATACTTTAATGAAAAGAGTGATTAAAAAAAACTATCCATAGTGTTTAATAGTCTCTTCCTATCTGAAAGTGTACTGTTTGAACTTGACCAAACTGTCTTCTGCATACTTTGATGCTTTAACAACTGTGACTAACAATCTCATTCCAGACGTTGTGTCAAAGCACAAGACAGTAGTACCCTTGAAGATGTATAGCTAAGGGTAGCAATAGAAGATAATACTACCAGAAACTCAAAATATAGTTACTTTAAGTAATTAGCCTTCCTTCCAACCTTACAAAAAGAGAGAAACACTAGCCATCAAAATGTAATGATTGTGTGGACTATTTGTGGGCTGGGTTAGCTGTACCAATTTATCTGTATCAAATGTAACTATTGTAATTTAAAACTTGCATACCTCTGAACTTTGTGAATAACTAGCAGTTTAGATCATGAATAGAAATAAATTATAGGACTACAAGACTTAGTCCCAGACATTTTTGAAAATCTTGTTTTTTTGTAGGTGCCTCAAACTTGTCCAATTTGAGACATCTGAAAGGAGCCTGACTTCTAGAAGATAGGTGCAGAGCATTTTTTTTTGAAAATCAAGCCCCTTTGAAGTGTAAAGTTGGGCACTCAAAAAATATATTTGAATTTGAATTTCAGTCTTTAAGCAAAAGCAAAGTGCAGAGCAGAACTTCCTGAACATATATTTTGTTTTTAAATATAAATGGGAAGAGACTGTCTAGGAAGGAGTATGGCAGAAAGGGATCTAGGGGTTATAGTT